TTTTAGTAACCAAAAGAAGAACGAGAAAAATGTTGAATGATGAAATGTGTGATTTAACCTTTCTTTATATAGTATACGTGATTTCAGCTCGAGTTAAACTAAAGCAGTACCATAATTTGTGTTCCGGAAATAATTAAACTAATAAAAGTAGGCAATTACAGAAATATTAATAGCGATTAGAATGTGTGAACAATGTTAGTCTAATAATAATATAAAAATCAAACCGACTCGAGTTGACCCGAAACCTAAAGTCTTGTCTTAGGCGGTGGGAGGCAGCATGTGTTTTACTCATAGACAATAGAAGGGAAGTTGACATGTTGTTCAACTTGTCTCCTTCTAATTTTACCACAAAATCATTTAGTTTCGTTAAATTACATTGAATTACCACTACTCAATAAGATCAAGATGTGTTGAAATGTCATCAGCCACTTGCGATTAATCAAGTGTAGCCACCACGAAACATCGCAAATCCAATAATCAAATTCTATACATTACTATAAATAACATAGCCAGAATCACCCAGCAGCTTGACTTTGTTTCCCCCCTAATTAAATGACGATATATAAAGCATTAAGTTGGAACTCAGATTGATAAAGTCGTATTCTCGTCTTTCTTCGTAGGCCTGGAGCCGACCACTTGCCTGCCTGTCAGAATTAATTAATTAGTTCCTCATACGGGATAGTCCAATAATGAAAATCTATCCAATCATTATTCTTATTTAATTTGGAATAATTAAATTAAAGAACACTTCATTTTGGTGCACAGCTAATCCCACCCGTCTTTAGCATTTTATTTTATATTTGTAATTAATAATTAAGGTTGGATACAAAGCTATTTATTACGGTATAAACTAAATATAATTAGTTCTCCAAATATTTCAACCGCCCATTTTAAAAGAAATTCAAACTTGGAAACACAGAGGAGTTACCCATCGTCTTTCTTGTAAGAGAAGGGCCAACGTCATTCCCTTTGTGTCTTATAAATTTATATATAAATACAAACATTTCATATCCATTCTGTATCCGCTCTCAGCCTCTCTGTTGGATGCACAGAATCCATTCATTTACACCACAGGCACACGTGTTTTTTCTTCTTATTTATGCATCACAATTCAATTGATATTCAAACACAGTAATTGCCTTGTTGGAAAGAAAGAAAACAAGAGAGGAAAACGACGGCCATTCTGCCCTCTGTTATTGTTATGCTTCCTCTCAGATCTTAGATTATCTTGCTTTCCCTTCTGGATTCCCCCCCTGGTACGTCTCTCCTCAAAACTAGATTAAAGCTGCTCTATTTTTCATTTTTTGGTTTCTGGGAGTCCTGGATTGTTGGTCGATCCGTAATCGGTCTTATGTTTTTCGATCGAACCCAACAACATAAATAACCAAGCTTGGGTTGATTTTCGTGTCCCGACAAGGCACAGTTATCTTCGTTTAATCTACATTACGATGTTTATGTTGGAGAAATGATGATCAATCGCGTGTTGCCTTTAAATTCAAGAAAGCAAAGCCTCGATTGTATCTGACATTATTTACATGAAATTACGAGTCGGATTCTAGATCCGATGTTTTCCTTCTTCTTTTGTTGAACATGTTTTCTTTATAGTGATATGTTTATTCATTTTGTTTATGATTGACTGGGAATCCAATATTCAGCAAGATTATATTGATCTTATTGTGTTCAGAATGGAAATGGAGGTTGGCAAGCTATTCATCGGCGGGATTTCTTGAGGCACAAACGAGGACCGTCTTAGACAGTATTTTGAAACTTTTGGGGAAGTTGTGGAAGCTGTTATAATGAAGGACCGGACCACAGGTCGTGCCCGTGGGTTTGGGTTTGTTGTTTATGCCGACCCGGCTATTGCAGAAAAGGTTGTTATGGAGGAGCATATGATAGATGGTAGAACTGTAAGTTCCTAACCTTTTTTTAAAACACCCTTGTAATATGGTATGTTCTAAAAATATACTTTTGCTTTGATAATATGAATTGTATAGCCTGCAATTCTTGGTGTAGTTGATGGCCGCTAATATGGTCATTTCTTTTTAATCATGATTGGTTAGCTTTTTTAATTAAGACATGACTTTGTTTTATTAATTTTGATTTGATGTTTGTATTGTACTTGTACATTTTGAGGTTTGATTGGCAGCATGTTGCTATTGACTAAGAACTACTCAAGTAACATGTATTTACCCCTTCTGAGGGCAATTGATGGTGATAGATTCCCAAACATCAGTCGATGTCGACAGCTTCATTCTGCAGTTTGATCGCCAATACGAAATCACTTTAAGTATTAGAATAAATTTTACATAGACCGAATGCTTATCGTAGACTATACTTGAATGGAAGAGATCTTCTTCTTTCAGTTTCATTGAGATGAATCAGTGTATTCAGAACACAATTTGATCAATTGCAAAATGAACCATTGGTAATTATTTAGCATCAAAGAGATAATGTGAACATGTAATTTGTATGATGAGGAAGAAGAATGTCATTATAGATCTTGTGTCCGAGTTCCTCAATCATAAAATACTGAAAGTTTCCAAGATCCATAAAATAAATTCAGGGGAAGTTATCAGCTTTAGGTGGATCCTTTGTTTATGATTCAAAAAGATTGTGCACTTCTGATGCTATTATTTATGTTGCGAGGTAGAAATTGTGTTTAACTCCATTTTCTGTCTGGTTTTCTCTTCAGGTTGAGGCAAAGAAGGCAGTTCCTAGGGAGGACCGGAACATTCTCAACAAAAACAATATTAGTGTTCTTGGATCATCCGGTCCTTCTCGTACAAAGAAGATATTTGTAGGAGGCTTAGCATCCACGGTCACTGAGAGTGACTTTAAGAGGTACTTTGATCAGTTTGGTACAATCACTGATGTTGTTGTGATGTATGATCACAACAATCAGAGGCCACGTGGTTTTGGATTCATAACTTATGATTCAGAAGAAGCAGTGGATAAAGTCTTGCAGAGAACATTTCATGAACTCAATGGGAAAATGGTTGAGGTCAAGCGTGCTGTCCCCAAAGAATCATCTTTAGGTCCAAGTCGGAACCAGTTAGGTGGATATAACTTTGGTCTCGATAGTGTCAATAACTTCCTTAATGGTCACATTCAGGGTTATACTACTAATTCAGTTGGAGGTTATGGTGTTAGAATGGAAGGTAGATCTAGTCCAGGTACTATTGGTCAGAGTGGATTTTTCCATCGAGCCCCAGTTATGGGTTTGGACTGAATTTTGAGTCAAATTTGAGTCCAAGCTCTGGATGGAACTCAAACCTTAGTTCTAAGCTCTGCTATGAACGGGGATTGAACACTTCGTTTAGGGGAAATTCAGACCGGTTTGCCAGCCCTTTTGGGTATGGTGTGGGCAGTGGAATGAATAGTATTTGGGGAAATGGAAATCTTAGCTATGCTACTAACTCCACAAACTCTAGTCCTATTGTGGGATCTCGAAGTTGGAAAACAGATGTGAGTTCCTTTGGCAGCATTGGATCCCTTTTGGATCCCTCTCCTAAGTCAGGTCCAGGTGGAGGTGCTCCTTCTGCTTACAACAATCTTAGGTACGGAAGTGGAGATTTTGGTGTTGCGTCCAGAGTGATAGGCCACGAGAGAACCAGTGATGCCCGTGCATCATCCCATGGTTATTCCGATATTTTTGAAAACGGTTCATTTTATGGGGATTCTACATGGCGATCTATGCCCTTGGACCTAGAGCTGTCTGGCTCTTTCGATTTCAGTCTGGGAAATACAACTTCTGATGTTATAGCTAATAACTCTGCTGGTTACATTAGTGGTTCTGGTGTTACAAATAGGCAGTCAAATGGGGGTAAGACTTGATTTGTTTTCTAATTTACTGTTCCATTAGTCTACTTTTCTTTCCCCCCCTCAGACATAGCCGTCTTTAACAAATTAATGTCTCTGAATCTTTCATGACATAGAACATCATCAACAGATGTTTAGTAATGAAAAGAACTCCATTTACCGGCCATTAGTCAACAGATAGGCAGATAATTTTAGGTGCTTCATTCTGGTGTACTCATTTTCTGTTGATTGCCATATTTTCCAGGAATCGCCGCATAGGCCGATGATGATATGATAAGGTAGGATATTTAGTGGGTGAATGACTGGATTTCTACATTTCCCCGGGTGAGACATTTCGGTTTTATATGAAAATACGAGTAGAGCTAATCCGGTTTACCTGTCTTGATGGACCTGTTATAGAGACAGTTGCATAGAAGTCATGTATGTGCTTGAGGTTTTTCTTTTCATTTTCTAGCACAGTTTTTCCTTTACGGGGATCAAATAAATGTAAAATCAAATTGTGGGCATACGCTGGTTATTGTATTTTTCCCCTTCATTTGGAATTTAGAGTAGTTCCAATTGTTATGGTGAGTGAAGTTGCCGGGTTCATGTATATTGTAGATATTAGTGAGTTGTTTCTTTCTCCTTCAATTAATACCAGAATTGTGTGGCCAATTTGCTCTCTTATCTTCTTATCCTTTCCTGGAGCTAGCTTTGAAGTCATTTTCATCACCTTCAACTCCTATGACGAGGGGTCTTTGTCACCATCTGACTGGTCCTTCATTCAATGCACCAATTAATTCATAGGAGAATAAAGTGTTAAGAGTTTACATTCTTCCCAGTCTGTCGCTTAGCTTACCGGATATATATATATATATATAACAGTTCAATTAACAACTACTTGATGTCAGCAAACACCATTAAATTACCGTTATTAGAGATTTAAATTACGATTATTTTTAATTATATTATATTTATTATAATTACAAATATAATAAATATTATTATGATTATTATAAATATTATTATTGTATAATAACCATGATATACGAAATTTTCAACAATACTAGTAAGCGTTGCCGGCCTGAACTTAACGCCATCGCACGTGTTGTTAGGATAACGGCAATTTGGGCATTGTAAGACTTAGGTTAGTTGTCCCCAGACAAACGCCTTCAAATTATTTTCTTGTCCCTTCCGCAACTTGTAAGACCCTGTTTGGTTATCGAGTTTCTCAAAGTCGTCGTTTGTTTAAAGGGTGGAGAATGGAGAGATGCGGGAACCAAACACGTCTCAGTAAATTTGATGGATCGGATTAAACGTTGGGGAGAGGATATTTATAAGTGATTCAAAAAGAGAAGAAAAAGAGAAGAGAGGAGCAAAATAGATCGAGTGTTATCTTTTTCTCTAATATCTAATGGCGGATAAAACGAGAGCCTCAGCTTACTACTCTCATTGCTTCAATCTTGCTTCCTCTTCTTCTGTTTGATCTCTCTGTTTATTTCTCCTCTTTGCTTCTGCTTCTTTCTCCAGCTCTATAATTATAGTTGCTATGGCTTCTGCTGCTAATTGTGCAGTATATTTAAGCAGCAACACTAACTGCCTTACTGTATTTGAAATCAAAAACCATTCTTTGCCTGCTAACGTTGTTAGCAGACAACCCAACACTCTTGGGAGAAGAAGGTATGATTATGTTAAATCTGAACTTTATCTTTTCTTTTTCAGTTTTACTTCTCTGGGTGTTGGAATTGTTGGTTGGGAAATTCTATATGGTGTTTCTTATGCCGCTTGAAGTGAAACAATTTAATGCAGTTGTATACCCTTTGGAATTGGATAAGCTCATTTGGATGATGTAGTTAATTTAATCTACTTACCCAGATTTAATACAGCTTGAGGGTTTCTTTAGAACAAAAATGAGTTATGATATTAGGAATCGAATCTGAGTATGATTCTGGTGTTAAAATCTCCCTGTCCGTTGTAGTTTTAAACCGCGCCGCAGATTTCATGTCTACCTTTGGGATCTGGCTGCAATTTTTCTTCCCAAATTTTCTTCAAATGCTAATGCTACTGTTTAACTGGCTTTGCACTTGCTAACATTGTTTTTATCTTGAGTTTTAATCATAACAGGCTCAGATTGTCATCATCAACGACCAGAATCAATCCACCATCAGCCACTGCCATAGGGGTATGGAAGAGCTGTAATATATTTGATTGATTGTTGATTGTTTGTCAAACTCACTAATGATCCGTTTCTGATGGTTTTATGTTTGAAGAATGATGGGAGTTTGCTCGATACAGTTCCAACCCCCAAAGTTATAATTGATCAGGACTCTGATCCAGATGCCACTGTTGTGGAAATAACCTTTGGGGATCGCCTTGGAGCGCTTCTTGATACCGTATAAATCCAATTTTACTTTACCACTTTAGAATATCTATATTTTTCTTTCCATTAACAATTTTGTATTCTCTTTCCATTTACAATTTTGTATTCTCTTTTGTGAAATGAAATTCTTTTATGTATAATCTTAACTATTAGCTAATGAGCTGCAGATGAATGCGCTTAAAAGTCTCGGGTTGAATGTTACTAAGGCAAATGTCTATCTGGATTCATCTGGGAAGCACAACAAGTTTTCCATCACTAAGGCGTAAGTTGTATGCCTTTTAAGTTATTTTCAGTATGCATTTTCATGGTACTCGGTTAAGCCTTTCTAGCAGATTACATTTCCTGCCACATTTTGTTATCTGAAAGTTAGTGAGTGTAAGTTTTTTCTTGTTTGTGATTAATGCTTACCTAATTCAGCATAAGTCAGTTTTTAGGCTAGAATTATTTTCAAATGAGGTTGAAACTACTAGATATATCTCTAGAAACATCAGAAATTATTTAAGCTGTATTTATACTTACTCCTAGAAACACAGATGTGACAACGGTATTATAAGCATAACACATTACATCTTTCATGGACTGCAAGCTGGTGTAATATCTACTTCATATTGGTTTTGAATCTTCAATAGTTTAGATCACCATTTTGCTTGAATTATTGGAAAGAAGTATGGTTATTCGTTCCCCTTGAATGAAAATCATGTTACGTCGCAAATCAATCAGAATCTTTTTGTCTGATTCATAAAGTCAATACACTTAGAGCAGTTAAGGCCAACTTTGGAAATTCAATGCTGTTATTAACAAAACTCAGATAAAAATTGAATGTTCTGTCTCAGTTGTTATAAATGCTATTTCAGATGCAGTTTTACTAATATAGTGACGATATCTGTGTCTGCAGTAGTACTGGAAGAAAAGTTGAAGAACCAGAACTGCTTGAGGCAATACGTTTGACGATTATAAACAACTTGCTTCAATATCATCCGGTAATCATCGTTTCTTTTTCCTTATTCCTGGTGAGGTATCTCCTAGTGAAGTCTATTGACATGTTATGTGGTCCAGGAATCAAGCTCCCAGTTAGCAATGGGTGCGACCTTTGGTGTTGAGCCACCAAAAGAACCGGTATTCCACTTGCAAAATATCGCTTTTCATGCTTGCTACTGTGATCGGTGCAACTGGTCATAAGTGTTGCAAATTATCAATCAATTATTGAGCTGAGTATGATATCCCACATTAATCTTGGCTTAAATTTTGCATTCTTGGAATTCCTTAGGTTGATGTGGACATTGCAACCCACGTAAGAGTTCGCGACGATGGTCCTGACCGAAGGTAATGGTTACCTTTATAGCCTTATACAATGCAATCCCTGCCCTTGAAATTTTGATAGCTTAGGACCTTGGCCACATATTGAAATTTTTCTAGTTGGCTCTCATGCCTGACGATTCTTTGGTGTATTAATGTAAATGAAAGGGTTGATATCTTTTCCTTTTTATCTTCTTCATTTCCATAAAATCTTATTTAGCTAAAAAATTCGGTTCAGCTTGCTATTTGTGGAAACAGCTGATCGCCCAGGGTTGTTGGTGGATCTTGTGAAGACTATCACTGATATCAATATTGCCGTCGAATCTGGGGAGTTTGACACCGAGGTGATCAATTAGTTACCATTTTCTTTTTGTCACCTACGAAATACGATTTGACGATCAACTTTCCACCTTCTTTTTGAAGAATCGTATTAGTAACTCTATAAAAGCATAATAATTAATTTTGTCTACTTTTTGGACCTTTGCCGCCTAGGGTTTGCTTGCAAAGGCAACGTTTCACGTCAACTACAAGGGTAAAGCCCTCATCAAGCCTCTGCAGCAGGTAAAGAACAAAATAACCTAAACCACAGTTACTCATTGTCTCCCTGCTCAAGAGAAATGTGATCATTTTAAATAACATTCCATAGGGTTAACCATTAGGGTAGGGGGGGGGCATAGTTTTGCTATATGAAAATTTCCAATGCGTTCTTATGAAATCTGGCAGGTTCTTGCTAATAGTTTACGATATTTCTTGAGGCGTCCGAGTACGGAGGAGGCAAGTTTTTGAGCCACCATAGCCAAGTTTAGGAGCAAATTACCGATACCAATGGGGTGAACTTTAGAATGTTGTTGCTGCCAATAATCTCCTCTTGTAGCAATTCTACATATACTCCCCAATTACTTTTACTGCGATGATACTTGTTGTGTAACTATTTTAATTCATTTGATCACATCTATGTTGGCTCAGTTTGTGGATTTTGTGAGTAATTTGATGCCATTCCCACTTTTTTATATTTTCATTTATTTATGTTTCTTAAAAGACCGTAACTTTAAGTTTGTGTGTACTTAAATTAATTGCTTTTTTAATCCACCCATTTCATATATAAATAATTGTATTTACTCAATATAAAAATGGTTGTATTTTATTGTGCGTTCGTAGGGTAAAGATTGAACAGAAGTGTTAACGTGTTATGCATTTACTTGCCTTAAAAAAAGTTAAACGACGCAGGCTTAATTACAGGAAATAACATGGACTGGAAAATTGACTACCAGGAGACTTTTGCACCGGTTACAAAATTGAATACCATAAGAATATTGTTATCAGTAGTTGTTAACATGGACTGGAAATTGCATCAGCTGGACATAAAGAATATTTTTTGAATGAGAACTTTGAAGAAGTATACATGGAGGTTCCCCCGATTAGAAGGAAAAGTCACTAAAAAAATTGTGTGCAAGCTCAATAAATCCTTATATGGCTTAAAACAGTCTCCCAGGGTTTGGTTTGATCGATTTGCTAAGGTTATGACACAGAATGATTTCAAACAAAGCCACACATTATTCAGAAAAATTACACCGAGTAGTAAGATAACCCTCCTAATTGTCTATGTAGATGATATGATTATAACTGGCAGTGATATAAAAAAAATAGAAAAGCTAAAGATGAATCTTGCAAAGGAGTTTGAAACCAAGGATTTAGGGAGTTTGAGGTATTTCCTGGGTATGGAAGTTGCAAGGTCCGAAGAAGGGCTGGTCATAAACCAGCGTAAGTATGTTTTGGATCTTCTTGCAGAAACAGGGATGCTCGACTACAAACCAGTTGAAACTCCAATGGAGCCAGGCTTGAAATTTTGTAAGGACCGAACTGGAAATCTAGTAAACAAGGAAACCTACCAAAGGTTAGTTGGGAAGTTGATCTACCTTTAACTGACCAGGCATGATATTGCATACTCAGTGAGCATTGTCAGCCAACATATGAGTGATCCTCGAGAAGAACATTTGGAAGCTGTTAACAGAATTCTAAGGTTCTTGAAGTTTACCCCAGGAGTTGGACTTATATTTAGAAAAAAATCAAAACAGAACAGTGAAGGTTTATACGGTTGCAAGTTGGGGAGGTGAATTAACTGATAGAAGGTCAATTAGTGGCTATTGTGCCTACGTTTGGGGTAATTTTGTGACTTGGAGAAGTAAGAAACAAGCCGTCGTCTCTCGAAGTAGTGATGAGTCAGAGTTTAGAGCAATGGCTCTCGGAATATGTGAAGGACTGTGGATTAAAAGACTGCTCACAGAACTGGACTTAGATGACAAGAAGAATTTTGAGATTTTTAGTGACAGTCAATCAGCTATGAGTATAGCAAAAAACCCAGTGCAGCATGATAGAACGAAACACATTGAGATAGACAGACATTTTATTTACGAGAAGGTCAACAATGGAGTTGCACAACTGCAGTACATTCCAACGAAGAAACAGCTTGCAGATATCTTCACCAAAGCCATTCCACGAGTGACTTTTGATGAGATGTCATTCAAACTGGGTATATACAACATATATACACCAGTTTGAGGGGGAGTGTAGGAATTATAGAAATGAGCTGTCAAGAGATTCTGTAATTATTTTCTGTTTTTCAAATCCCTTATTTCAAGGGATTACATCTCCTAGGATTAGTATCTTTTCTAACTTAGAGTTTCCTAGTTTAGAAGCATAATTTGTATATAAATATGTAATATGTTTTTATTGAAAGTATGCAAGAATAAAATAACAGACTTGATTGTTTCCTACTGTTTGTTTTCTACTATACAGTCTGTTTTCTTTCTATAGTCTGATTTCTACATTATTGAGAAGGAACAACAATCTTATATCGAAGGGTTTTCCAAACGGAAAGATGATTTGTGTACCTTACGGCAGATTCTGAAACCGTGCTGCATGAACTTGATCCCGCCAAAGTTTATATTGTTGGCAGATTGGTGGACAGAAACCGGTGGAAAGGTATAACTATGAAGAAAGCCGAGGAACAGGGAATTCGTACAGCAAAATTCCCAATTGGGGATTCTATGAAGATGTCCAGTTCTCAGGCATGCCTCTACTTTCTTTCATCACTTAGAATCTATTGGGTATTAATAATGCAAAGTGAAAACTGCATATTATATCTTGCAAGGAAAATCCGAAAAGGCAATAGTTAGCCTAGAATCTCTTGGGCATTAACAATGCAAAGTGCAAACTGCATATTATATCTTAATGATTGCATGCTATAGTTGTACAACTTTTAAAGCATGATTAGGATGTAGATTGTAGGGTGTGATTATTGTTTCAGATGATGGTCATGCTTGGTAGTTCGCTCACTAAGCAGACTAATTTTCTAACAAACAAATAAAGAAGCAAATGTTTATTCTATAAGCTTTTCTTCTCTAATTACCATTTCTTTCCAATGAGTGCAGCTCCTTACTGTGAACCAAGTTATAGAGATACTCCTCAAGTTCCTCGAGACTAAAGACTGGAAAGCTTCTTTCTTTCATGTAGTTCCTCAGAGGTGTCTTGAAGTGCTTTCTCATGACTAGAAGAGCTACCTGGATTTTGGTTTATGTTGACAGTTATCCCATTACATGCAATGGCTGTACAAGTGAAAAAATAACGACACGGAAAATTTATTGGCTTTGTAGTTCGATCACTTACCTCTCCATTTGTCGATGGTGCTTCGATTTATACATTTAAAACTTTGGCTAAAGTTGTAAAGAAGTGGGTGCTCACTTTTGAATTTGTAAGGAAAAAGGTAAAATGTAAATTGAGTTTGCAAGGAAAAAGGTAAAGTAGATGATCCAACTTTGACTTCATCTTTTCCATTATTTTTGTCTCTCTCCGATATACAAGGGTTAGCTAAAACCTGCAAAGGTGTATTTGTAAATTGATCAATCGATGTCCAAATGAGAAGCCAAAATGCATAGGAAAATGGATGACTTCTTGTCATTTCCAGATGCAGGACGGAGATATATAACTGCTATTTTGCCATTCAAGTCACTTTCTTTACCTATCGCTATCACAACTACAAAATAAAAAGGCTAAGCTAATGTTTCTTTAAGTTTACATCAACACTAAAACGCCCTTGCTCTTAAGGACTTCAACAGAAAACTAGAAAACAAACAAAAATATGTACTGAAGTTACATAATGCATGGAGTAGCAGGCTTTCACCTCCAAGCTGAAAATGTCGACATTGCTCTATTTACCCAGCCAAGATAGATGGCCCCATCCCTCTCTGCAAGTCTATAGTTATTGTCATACTCCTTCAACATATCTCTTACAGCCGTAGTGACTGAAGAGCTCAACGGATATTGTGAAAAACCAGCCATCGTTAGCCTTGACCTCCACTTTCCTAGAAGTTCATGCCTTTCCACCCTCTCAGTCCCCTCACAAGCAATCATATTCACGATATCACGAGCCACACATTGCTGCTCAGCATTGATCCTTTGTTTATCATCTCTTGGACAAGCTGCATCAATGGATTCAAACATAGCTGAATAATAGTCCAGTGTCTCAAGATACCTTGAAAAGAATGGAGATGTATTAGTATTGGACTCTTGCTCAGAAAGAGTCACAACCTTGGGTGACAGACTCTTGACCAGCCTCAACAGTCTATCTCTGTGATTCGAGATGCTTACACTCTCATCTGGCATGTGATGCAATATGTATGGAAAGTTCACGGCAAGGGCTTCCCCAGGTTGAACATTAAGATGCTCTAGTTGAATTTCACAACCAGACATAGCGGCATCATGAAAATCAAACGGCACATTGTACGACCGAGCAAATTCTGATAGCCTCTGCCCCACAATATCAAGTCCCCCACCTCGAGCATGAATTGATTGAGAATCATCAATGCCAGTTATGCGGATGGACGGTGGCCCACCAGGACGTTTTGCAAATGCTGCAATAAGTAACATCCACTGGGTGCCCTGTGCTATTTGGAAATCTATAATGTGAATTTTTTGTTCATATTCCATGACTTCCCTGATAACAACATTACCCGACGTGTATGCAAACTTCCAGTATGGGCAGATCCTGAAGAGAATATGCATGTACGACATCAGTTCTGAGCTCGTTGGCTCTTCGCATTTTAGGGCTTTGTAGATGTTACTACCTGAGGATTCCAACCTCGCTCTAAGCCCTTCCAGTACATAAGCACCCAATCGTTGGATAGGTTCCCCAGACACTGAAACTATTTTCTCCAACTCATGCATTAAACATGTCACTGTCAACATATCACCATCGTGCAGTGCTTGACCACAGGCAACAAGGATCTGCTTCAGGTCTAGGTTAGGGATCATGTCCACCAGTTGATCACAGTTGAAGCTCGCCATTGAAGCAGCTTGGTGGGACCCAGTAATGAAGCAGCCGTTGCAGCTATCTATAGTATTTGATTCAGGCCCCAATAATGAAAGTTCCAGCTCCCGAAGCTTGTGCTTCAATTCATTGCTATCATCAACAACAGAGGATCCACTGAATGGTGATCCGTAAGTGTTGTCAGGGGAATGATGAGGATCAGACAGGTATGATTGAGAACCTTGTGGGGAGAAAGGACTCCTGCTTGATGAGATGCTTACGGCGGAAGGGGAATCAAAACCAGCAGCTGCCGTAGATGATTCCAGGGTAAAAACCTGGTCCTTGTAGGTCTGAAAGGAGACATCAGTTCCTCGGCCGACCATAGCTAAACATGCATTGTTGTCTAATATCTGGATATGAGACAAACAAAATGGATCGTTTTCTTTAACAGTTTGTTCACACAACCTCTGTATAGTGGCTGAAGTTTGGTGTTTCCGAGTTGTTCGCATCTAACACTAATAGCATCAGTTGATTGATTGAGCAGAATTACTTGTTAATGGAAAATAAACAAGATTGTGCAAGTCTCAATCCCCATCATCAATGTGGACCATCAATTGCTTTGGTTGTGCAACGCAGAAATATCAAGGAACAAATGCAACCTGGTAAAACAAATCCAAGAAAAAAACAAAGAATAGACTATGTAACTGATAGAAGCACAGTGTACTAGTCCAGAGAACCAGAGGAGGGGACAAAAAAAGAAGCAATAACCAAAAAAGCCTACATGGTGGAGATGGAGAATAAGATAAGAGGGAAAAGTTTCTTTAAGCAACAATGATTTGAATAACGAGTTAATCAACCAAAACCATATTCAAGTGAAACACTAAAAAAAAGACAATATAAGAAACCGACAATTTGATGTTTAAAAACTGCAATCCTCAGTATTCAGAGATCAAGCATAGTACCAACTTAAATCTCTCTCCAATGAAAATAATATAAATTAAAGAGGATATATTATAAAGGCCCAAGGTTATAGTCGAAGGGTACCAAGCCAGCCAAAAGGGGACTATTATGAAAAACAAAGGACGAGCGAAAAAAGAGAGAGAAACCAAAACCAGGTGACAATGAATGAAATTGGGCATACCAAAAGCTTAAAAAAATATATCAGCTACCGGATTCACTATTCATTTAAATCTGTAGGGCTGCAAAGAAATTGAAAAAGCATACATAACAGCTCTGTAAAGTGGTTTATATAAATTCAAATGAAGAATAAGAAGATGTTTTTTATGACGTTAGAAAGGGCCAAACTTTCATTTTCTTCAGCAGCGCCTACCAATATGAAATCTTGTTGACGGCGTAAGAAACGCAGAATAAATAAAATGAAATTGAAGGCTAACCAAACCAAGCCATTATTCTTCCCCAAATCATGAGTTATCAACAAAATCGTTTGAATTGATGGATCCAGGAAAGAACTGAAGATTGTAATGATCAAAGCATGAGCAGATAAGAAGGGAGAGGAGTTGGCATACCTTAGTAAAACAATAATCAGCGTTTTAGCTTTGGGTGTCTTTAAGTTTCTTACTCAACCACCATCAAACAAACCAAACCCGTCTCCCTGTCACCTTGTGTTGTGTGTGTCTCTGTTTCTCTCCACAGATATCTGATGGCTCTGTTTATGGGATTCTCGCGGTAGAACTCGGAGTATAGATGCAAGCGGCCCGGAACTTGTACACAATATTAACAAGTCTTTATTTTAAATTTGTCTGGAATTGATGTTAACAAAAATATTTTTAAAAAATAAAAAATGTTAGTTTTAGATATTAGATTATAAATTATATCAAAATTAATATTATATAGTAAATATATCAATTTAAATTATAATAAAAATGTTTTATGATAATTTATTATTAATATATTTATAAATGAAATATCAAAAATATAAAATCTAAAGGTATTGTAATGAATTAATATAATTAGTTTATCGATTTTAATTTGAATATAATACCCATGATAATTTTTTTGAACAAATCATAATAATTGATATTAGTGAGTATATAAATGATAATAATCAAATAATAAAACATTAGATAAAATTTATTAAGCCAAAAGTGGTAGCTTTTCCTGACTTTGGCTTCATATTTTTTAACAGTCCAAGGAAGGATTTGATAAACAAGTTGGAGAATCTTGGACTTGGTGCTTTTCCTTTACACTATTAATACACTTTAAACAAAGGGCTAGGCAACTTACCAATATATATATATACATATTGGCCCACTTTCGTTATCTTGAATACTCAGCAGAGATGAAAATGGAGAAAAAGTAGTGGCAGATGCTCTTATCAGACCGTCCTCTGGTGGCAGATGCTCTAAGGTCGGCCCTGCAATTCAGTTGTGAAAAGGTATTGTCGGCAACATCTTCGATCAAATTTCATAAAAGGGAATATTCCCATATCACTGCATATACGTAGTTCATCGGAAGTTGTTGTTGGGGGGTGGGGGGGTGGTTAACAAATCACATGAGAATATATATAACCCTAATCAGAGGTACTGACCTCACTCCATATGTAATTTAATTTCCTCCATTTCTTTACTCTTTCTTGCAAAGAAGAAAAGGTCGTATCACGTGTGTGGAATAATCTCCCTTCTTTTCCAAAGAATAAAGGACGATCCCGAGACTTTAAGTTCAGAAACAAAGGCTACTGCCGCGTGTCACTTGCTTGTTTTAGAAACATCTTTTCTTCTTCCTCAAAGTTCTACTCCACAATAGTATTATTGTGAGGTTATTTATTCATCTTTTTTAAATAAAAATGTATGGTAGATGTGTAGTGTAATAATTTTTAAATTATTAAATCATTTTTCCTGATGTAGGAGTACTTTTTATACTCTTTTTCCTATTCAAATTTAATTATTAAAATGACAACCATGTTCTCCTACATCCAATGACAGAGAAACAGAAACCTTTCAAGGCCTAAAACTATCAGTTATCTTCTTTTGATGATTCTAAATAGGGCCAGGCCTACAACTGCTAAATTTGGAATATATGGTCAATAATGGGCTTTTATTTCGGTAGGGTAGGACTGATATTTGTTCAAACAAACTTCTAGAGGTCACAAATGACAATCATTCACTTACAATCAAACTAAATGTTTTATGTGTGTAATTAAATATATATTAAATTTTTATATCAATTAATCCATGATTAACACAAATCAAAAGACCCATTTCTTATCCCAATCAAATTGCCTTTTGACTAACCTATTGAGCATAGAAGATAAGAAATAGGTCTTTTGATTTGTATGTAGCCCTAGAAGATAACTCACATAGCTATGACGTACATTAAAGAATATTTTCAAACATAAATAAAATATAAAATCTATACATTTTATATGCATATTAATGTGATAAATATACTTACCAAATACAAGTATTATTTACATATAAAAATTGAAGACACTTAATTTCGTCCGATGTTATATCATATTGTATTACAAACTATATTATATAATTCTTCATTTATATTATATTTACATTCATTTACATTTGTTTTCAGGCCCAAAATTACATTACACGTGGCCCAGCAGAATATACAATGGTCCAACAAGCCCGCGAGAAACCCTAGCTCACCCCACACTCTTGCTTCCAGCCGCCAGCAGCAATGACCGTTGGATCTAGATGAGATCCAACGGTCCACAGAAAATGACACATATGGTTTGTTTGGAAACCCTAGTCGCTTCAGCATCATCCCAACGCCGCAAACCCTCACCTGCGCCTCTGATCCTCACGGCTACACGTCCCAACGCCGAACCTTCCGGCGCAAGGATCTCACTTAATCAACAAGCAAATATTAGAGTCATATTAGGACTCAAATATGTCAAAAAATAGCAAAAATCTAAGCTATAAATAAGTGTAACCCACACGATATCACGCATATTACACACAAATACACACAGAGAGATCATAGAGAGTTGCACACAAAAACATTCGAAAAAATCACAAGGCATTTGTAAAGCTTTTCGAAGAGAAATAAAAAGGTATAGATTTTTTTACCTTTATTCGGTTGTCCCGATGCATGCATGTTGATGTATACGGTTCGTCTTTAACACACAAGGTGTTTGGCCGATGACCGGGGATGGGTTTGCTTTCGAACTTTTTTTAGATCCGCCCCTCTCGAGGCCTTTTTTTTAAACCATTCACATATTTACAGTGGGGAGAGGAATAGTTTTCAAAAAAGGTAATTTTTTTTAAATTCTGCCGCCGATGAACGGCTAGACGGCAACGGTGGCCGAAATCTGGATTGAGCGGCGATGTTCAAGTGTTCTTCAAGAACACAAGAACATTTTGAGAGGAATTGAGAGAGGGGGGCTCTCTCGTGTGAAGAAGAGAGAAATGAAGATTTTTTTTTAAAAAAATGGCTTTATACTCGGCCCATGGTCGATCCATGTCCCGACCTGCACCACATGAGGATCCGCACGTTTTTGCCCCTAAAATGGGAAAATCCTATTTCAGCCCCCTCGTTTTTAAAATGTTTAATTTTGCCCCTAAACAGAATTTAATTCTCAATTTTCTTTTTAATTTACCCTTTAATTTTGCTTCTGTTTTAATTTAATCCCCCACTATTATATATGTTTAATTATATTTCCATTATTATAATTCTATATTTTATTCTATTATATTTTTATATACATTATCTTTATTTTATTTACATATATTTACTTGCATTTTTCTATCTTTTTATATTTCATTTTTTTATTTTCTTTTATTCTTTCTTTTTTTGGTTTTTTTATTACTATTATTATTATATATATTTCATTTTTATTATTATATATTTTACATGTTTTATTTTGTTTTCATCTTCATCTTCATTTTTAATTTATTATTTTATTTTATTTTATTTTATCCTTAACATTTTATTTATATGCATATTCATTTTATCTAGTTATTTACTTTTTTTATTTCATTTTTTATTTATTATTTTTATCTTGCATCTATATATTGTCATTATTATTTTTAATTTTTATTCTTTTTTATTATTTTATTTGTCTATTTTTTACTTTATGTATTTTATTCACTCTTTACTTCTAACATTTTCATCTTTTAAAGGTATTTAAATCAATCTAAGGTAAGTAATTTGGGATCATTATTTTACCTTTTTAATTAAGCTTACAATTTTCTTAATTTAAGACAACTGAAAACTACATAGTACCGAAAGGGCAGTTCAGGGGTGCTAACCCTTCCTGGACTGTAACCGACTCCTGAATCCGACACATCTTTGGTAAGACGCAGATCATGTAAGAAATAAGGTATCCGATCAACCTATTTATTTTTAAATAAATGATCAGTGGCGACTCCTAATCCATTTTCCTAAGTCAAAATCCCAATTTCGGGCCCACCCGAAAGACAGTTCCGACAAAAATATATATACTAATCTACGTAAAGTAAACAAAATGAAATGAAAATATATATTAATATATAAACATGTATATCAATACACAATCAAAGATATAATGATTAAAATATGTCAATATGTACAAATATAAATTTAATACATAACAAAAATACTTAAACCAACACTAACGATATAAAAAACATATACATACTAAAATATAAGGATCAAAAATCAAAGAAAATAAAATAGTAATATGAACATAATAATAAAAGAAAGCATGGACTAAAAAGGAAGACAGGGAAAACTAACACGTCCAAAATGAGAAAATTAAAACTTCATTCAGTGGCTAAAGTGAGAACTTTACAACACATGAGACCTTCTTGCGTAAATAACCCCTAAATTTTGCATGGTCGCCCTAACCCAAAACTATGTCGTTTTGGGTTTCATATAAATACCCCTTTATAACCAAAATTTTAACCCTACCTCTCATTTTACTTCTATTATTTTTTAAAAGAGAGAGTTCACAAACTCTCTCAATTCTCCCCTCAACGGAGGCACGACCACCATCCATTAGTGTCCTCCACCGTCGCTTACGGTGGTTGAAGGGAAAACAAACAGCTTAAAATGCTCATATTTCCCTCCTTAACCAAAAACCAAAACCCCTATTTCTTAAATCTCAACACAAATACTCATTTCTAGTATTATACCTTTCAGAATCTTCAAAAACCTATGACCCTCTTACTTCCTGGCGAGCATTGAACACAGTAAGACCTTCTCTTTTTTTGCTTGAGTTCTTGGCTCTCTCTATTTTTTTTTATTTCAGACTCTCCTCCTTCTTTTTTCCTTTTCGAACCTTTCTTTTCTTCTCTCAGTTGCCCTCTTTCTTTTCGTTCCAATAATTGAATTTTATAGTGAGGATTTTCACTTTTCGTTGTAAGCCAAGATGATAACAATGGGATGGTTGAAATGGCAGCGTCGATGAGTGTCAGAAGCCAGTGATAAAGGCGGTGACGGCTCAGTAGGCCACAACATCAAACTAGGGCTAGAGTAAGATTAGGGTTAGGTTTAGGTTTTGGGTTTTTGGGTCAGTTTGTTGCTTGTAATTGGGCTCTGGTTTGGGTCTTCGTAACTTACAAACAAAATAATAAAAAATACTTAATAATAATAAAATAAAAATATTACTATAATAATATTAATAATAAATAAAATAAAAATGTATTATACTACATGCATATGCTAGTGGCATAGGTATAAAGACATAAGATGTTGATATGACTTGATGAGGTA